TTCCTGCTGGGAGTTCAAGACCAATTATATCACAGCCAAAAAATGAAAGTAAGAGAGAGAGAGAGAGAGAGAGAGCGAGAGAGAGAGAGAAAGAAGGAAAAACAGTCATAGAGCTAGAGTGGTTGTTAATAACCAGCTGCTTTCAAAAGAAATCATGAAGTTGTCACTCATACTGTGATTTCTACAATCGACAGAACTAAGAATTTGTTGAAAACATAACATCATGAGATGATGATGATGAAGATGGGGACTATGATGATGATGATGATCAACAATCAAACAAAACAGGTGACAGAAAGACTTTTGAAGAAATCTATTAAAGCTAAAATATAAATCCTCTCAATGTTTCAAACTTGCACAGATGTATATAATTTGTGTAAAAAACCAAATATGATGGTTGGTTTAAAAAAATGAATTAAAATAAAATACCACCATAAGTTATTCTAAAAATATGCATTTTTTTCCCTCCTTTATGTGACTAAGTAATTCAGATGTTAATGTATGAGCGTCGTCGTGGACAGTGATGTCACTGCAGCAGGGTAATCAGATTAGGCTGAAACTGAGTTGCAGCTAATGACATGTTACTGAAATCTTTAACACTGGAAAAGAGTCGGATGTCGGTGGACAGCGTGCCTCCCCTCGGCTTTCTCAACAATACACCAGGTCAGCAGCCCTTAGTGTGTGTGTGTGTCGGTCGGTGGGTGGCTGTGTATGGGTAGGAGTGTGTGGACAAACGTGTGCCACAAGCGAAGCGTTGCAAATGTTTTTGTTGTAACTGGACAAAGAATGTTTCCTGCCCACTGAAGTGTTAAGATGGAGAGAGATCTGATATTTCCGCTCCCCCTCCTCTCACACTCTCTCTCTTTCTCTCTCTCTTTTTCTGTGTGTTTGGTGAATTTTTTCACATTATTGTGGAGCCACTTTGTCTTTGTGTGGCCCTTGCTGAGACAGAGTATTAAACAGTTGAAGATTTAGTTCAGAGTTAGGATTAAAATTAGGGCCAGATTAAAGTTTAGGTATGGATGAAGATTATATCTGTTTGTAAACATGTACTGTGTATGAGTTAGGGAATAGAACGTATCTGCATGAATTGCTCACCAAACACATGGTGTCACTGTTGTGACCTGTGTGAACCTTTGGGAGACAATGCTTCCAGTAACACAGACTCACACGTGTGAATGACCATCTGTGACGGCTGAAAGCGTCATCCAGTGACCGGATGATACTTTAGACCAGGGGTCACCATCGTGGTGTCCGGGGGCACCAAAAACTGCACTGTTACTGTTGTTTTTGAATCAGGTACACCTGCATCAATATTCAAATGGGTGGAATGTTGATGGTAAGAAGAGTTTTTACTATTGTCTGTCCCAGAACTTATTATTATTGTTACATTGTTCAGGAAGTCTGTATCAAACAAGTAGCTCTTTGTATTACTTGGCACCCTTGAAGTACGTAGCTCTCAGTTTCAAAAAAGGTTTAGATGTAACTGACATGGAAGTGTTTTGTCCATAAAGCCACTCTGATCTCACCAGTGCAGGTGGAGGTTCATGCCCTGGCCTGTTGGATTGTTACTGAACTTTCTGGTTTCATCTACATGTAAATAGCAGTGTCGTCTTTCTAATCTGGATTTAATGTCACATCAACATCATCATCAAAGCAACCGTTAAGTTAAGTTGAAAAGATTTACCGACATCTCGATGGGCTGCACACTCCTGTCCGTTAAACTCTCAACATTTGACAAGGATTTACAACAAATCAATGAACCTCCCTTGACTGCCTGCTGCCAAATGAAGCCGACTGTACCTGCTGACCGTGATGTTGGCGTAACTGATTCAGAAAGAACAGGAACAGTACAATTGTTGACCCTGCTGACATTGTTGACCCTGCTGACATCTTACCTACATGGGGGCTACCAGGTGCCCCCGGGCACCACGTTGGTGACCCCTGCTTTAGATTTTTCTCAGGTTTATCAATTACAGGATCGTATTCTTAATAAAGAAGTTTAAGAAGAACATGTTCTTCCTGGGCCGTATCACACAGACGAGGCAGGTGTCTTGGGTGGGAGATAGAAACAGACTACTCTCAAGCAAAGGTACATTGTGTATGTCGCCATCTAGTGGAATTAACTTAAAATGCAGTTAATGTATTGCAACGCTATAAAAAGACAATGAAATCCGTCTTAACCATAAGAAGAACTTCCTATCTTTTGACGGACCATTACTGCTTTGTTACGGACTACTATTACAAAGTAGTAACGTGTATTGAAACTATTCATTGTAGAAAGTGGATGTTTAAATTTATGCCATTTTTAAAATGTTGTAAAAGTAAACAAAAACAACTCACTTAAAATCTGGACTTTACTTTTTCCCTTTAGCATCAGGATCTCTATGTATAATTTTTAAATAGCCACAAATTATGTTCAGAACAGGAAATAAAGTCAGAGTGGATTATGAAACTACCATGACGTAGTAATAGTGCTACTGCATACTTCAGCATCATGCAGTACAGGGACTAAGACTTATGGCACAAAAGATTGTTGGCCAGTAGTCTATGAATATACATTTAATATGTAAAAATATTACAATTACATTATAATACATTTGGCAAACGCTTTTATCCAAACCACCTTACAATTTGAGTCAGTCAATCAAAATATAATATAAACGTATACGAATATAATATAATATAATATAATATAATATAATATAATATAATATAATATAATATAATATAATATAATATAATATAATATAATATAATATAATATAATATAATATAATATAATATAATATAATATAATAGTATAATAGTATACTGTATATGAATGGACACCATTGGAGCATTTTTCTGACCACCAAACATTTCCGTAGCAGAACGAGCGCTGATAGGCTGAGACATGTGACAATGACTAACGCAAACACTCAGCCCCGCCCTCACAGTCAGACAGATTTGTTTTTAGAACAAGTGTGAACAAATAAACAAGTGCAACCGCAGCAGGACGGATTTCTGCGACAATTACTAAGATACAGTTTTCATCCGGAGCTGTCTGCGGTCTCAGGCCGCGCCAAAAGCCTCTGACCGCGGGCACACGTGAAGAGCCATGGCCGCTGCGACCGTCACCTCCCGGGCATCGGAGCGGAGCGGCCGGGTCCTGGCTCCCGGAGGAGACACCTGGAAGAGGCACATCGTCCGTCAGCTCAAATACCGGGACCAGAACCAGCACGCCATGTTCCAGGATCTAATTCGCTTCTGTACGAACCACAAGAACCGGTTTGACCTGTTATATGTTGTTAAAGTGCCGGAAAACCGAGTGTCTCTTAGACCAAAACACTGAAAACGGCTAATTATACGCTCGTCATTAGAAGCTTGAGCCGGAGCTAATCTTTAGCTATTCACCGGCGGATAAAAATGTGACTTTGTATAAGGAGTTTGGTTCAACAGGAAACCAAAATGTCAACTCCACTGTTTGCACGTCTTTAGTTTACGTAAAGAAGCAATGACATGTTTAGAAGTTAAAATAATATAAAAATAACAACAAAATGAATGGAAACGCGATGTTTTGATTTGTTCATTCTATAGTTAAACCGTGAGTTTTACTATCACCTAGTGGGGCAGGGTTGTCTTCTTGTAGCTGAATATTACAGCTACTTTTGCTCTACTTTATCTTTTACCATCTAAGCGTGTATGGAAACTAAGGTTAGCTTTCAGTTATCATTTCAAACTTATGAACTATAAACCATGTTCCAGTTCATTGTCTGCTTGAACAGGACTGTATCTACCACAGATTTTGTCCAAGCCTGTCCCAGCCAGGCTTCCGTTCTTATCCATCAGTCTTGACATATGCAGTAAATGTTTGTATATACTCACCGTTGATTTACATCTAAAAACACAATGTTTTTAGATGTAACAATGTTTCTTGTCCTGAAAAGACCAGTTGATGCAGGTCATAAACAGGGACAGACACCCTGTTACAGTTAAACTGCTGTGGAGTCTGTCTTTGTCCTGCGGTATCTTCTAACTAGACACTTTCAAAAGAAATATTGAACATCATATTGTTTCCACTTCCTCAGCGTCATGACTCATGTGTATGTGTGTGCGTGCATGAGTGTGTGTGTTTGTGTACTGCTGCATCAAGTGGAAAAGTTGATGCTGTTTATATGTTTGGATCCAGCAAAGTTCAGATTATATGTGTTAGGCACTGATCACTAGTGCCTTAACCTGATTCAGGATCAGTTTCATGCTACCTTCGCTGACTCTTCTTCTGTTTACTGCCTGTTATCAGACACTCAGCTGTTGGACAAGTCAAGTCTGACCAAAGGAATTCTTAACCTCTCTGCCAGGTGAGTACAACTTATGCAGAACTTCATCTGCTGCACCTTTTATTCATGAATAGAGGATCTCTAACTATGGCTCTACATAATGTTTGACCAGTAAATACATAGTGAACCAGACCTTGGGATCACCATGTCAACACCCAAAATAATTAACAGCATTTTTCTAAAGTGCAGTCAAAACATTCTCCTGCTTCTCAAACACTTCTGCCGTTCAGTCCCACTGCTGCCTGTGATGAAAAGCTGATTCTGAATGAACTGTTCATATAGTTGATCAGGTTTTAGTCAACTTCGTCCAGTGGTTTATGACAGGAAGTCACCACCAATGTTGATAATTTGTTTAAGCAGCTGGTGATATTTATTGTCTGTGTGTGTGTGTGTGTGTGTTCAGACGCCCCTGTTCTGACAGTAACTCCCTCTCTGCTGTGCTACAACAGAAGAACCAGCTGAAGAAAACTACAGGAGAGGTTTGACAACACCATCAGAAAACAACCACAATTAAAACACCAACAACTGGACTTCATTTATAACCACATTTAAATACAGTCACACGTCATTACAACATAACAAAGATACAAACATACATACAAAGATTTAAACATCCATGTTTATGACAGCTTGAACTTTCATATGTTTGTGTCACATGACAAGTTTCCATGAGAGAGTTAAATTCAGACTGGCCTCAAAAATGGGAAGTGTACTGTTTTTTTTTTTTTTTTTTTGTGGTGTTACAGCTGGCCTATCAGGTGGTGGAACTGCAGCAGCAGATTAAGATCAAAGAATGTGTTCTGGAGGAGCAGAGCGTCAGGTGAATGACCCACAAACATCATACCAGTGTTGACACATGCCAAATTCTTCACAAATATATGAAGAAGAATTTTCCTTCAGCACACACTGAACAAACATTTAGAAAACTAGGTTTAAAAGAGGGATTATGACACAAAATTGATTCTATCTGGGATCTGGTCCACCTGTCGTAAGAAGATTTATAATCTGACAAAATGAAAATTAGTCTCGAAAGGTGGTGTTCTAATTTCACCTCTCCCCCTTATTGTGACATCACAGAGCAAATTCATTTGCATCAGAGTAGCAGAATGTTTTCTTTGAAACTTCTGGGTTTTTTTTAGTGCAAGTGTGAACTGAGTCTTTAACACTGCTCCTGTCTCAGGCTGCAGGAGGAGCAGCAGCAGCTCAGCTGTTCCTCAGATACTCATCAGCTGCTGCAGAAGCAGGTGAACCAGGGTCAGCAGGAGAACAGGCTGCTGGAGATGACATACGATGACCTGCTGGAGCGACAGAGAGAGGCGGAGTCCAGACTGAGGGAGGAGAAGCTGAAAGAGGGACACCTGCTGGAGGACATGATCCACCTAAAACGCCAGGCTGCCGCTCGTATGAACAGTCGCAATGAACGCAAGTCCAGGTACGAGAAGATTTCTGAAGACCTCTGTTCATTTGAGTGTAAAGTTTTTCTTTTCTGTTCTCTATGATTCATGTCATTAAAACCTCCTGCAGAGCACGTGAAGCAAATCTGCAAAAGAAGCTGCTGTCGGGGGCCAGGTCAGAGGTCACCGTAGACAGGTGAGAGCCACCTTGATTTATTCACTTTTCTTCATCTGTCTTTGATTATCAGGTAAATGATTTAGTCTCACAGTGAGGAGAAGCAGCACAGTTCAAAATGTCTCATTAATGACATGTCTCACCACCCTGTGTGTCTGTGTGAATGGACTGGAGTTCAAATTCTAACGTTCCCATGCTTCAGCTCCAGCGCTCCGACCTCCAGGTCCACTTCCCCTGAGAAGGAAAATCAGATTGAATGGACAGAACGTCAACACACCAGACTCTTCAGGTGAGACGCTGATGTTGTTAATGTGTGTGTGATGTTGACAGTGAGACACCAGGGGGAAGGTCACTGTTGTTCTTGTGTCTCCTTAGATCTTCATCAGCCACGTCTCTGGGAATTATCACATCGATCAGAGGACTGTTTCAGTGAGTCCTTCAGTCTGTACTTCTCTCTTGCGAGAGTCACAGCTGCCATTTACTGTGTGTTTGTGTCAATGTGTGATGTCAGCAAGAAGAGGCGGGGTCACTCTGTCTGCAGTCTGGACGAGGATCTGATGTGTCCTGTGGGAACCTGTGTGTCAGCCAGGGTTCCTGTCAGAGCTCTGCAAGTCCTGGTAAGTCCTGACTGTCTCTGCGTCTGATGTGACAGGTCCAACTCTGTGTGACACGACCTTCCCTCCTGCCTCCTCAGGAGGCTCACGATCAAAGCATTAACACAGTGAGGTTCAGCTCCAGCTCTGACCTGGTGGCCACTGGAGGAACTGACAGAGTTATAAAGGTGTGGGACATCAGGGCAGGTGAGTCTCAGGTCAGTCTCCTGTGCTGATGTCATCAATAATGTCCACAGCAAGACCATGTTTTAACATCATAATGATGTCACCAGGCTCACTCACCCACACAGCCACACTGGAAGGCAGCAATGAGGGCATCACCTGTGTGGAGTTTGACCCAACAGTAAGTGTTTTAATGAGTGGAGTAAATGAGAGGCTTTGAAATTAATTAATCTCTACAGTATTGATCAGATTTTTTAAAATCATATATCAATATTTCACACATCAGTTAAGGTGTTTAATTCAAGTTCTTCTAATTGATTGTTTGAAGTAAAGCTACAGAACCAAAACAGTTTTTTATCCATATTTCTGTGTATTTTTCATCTGTGGACCAAATTCTTTTGGCTCTGAACCCTGTCATCTACTGTACTGTACTGTTGACTTGAAGTACTGCAGAAAATGGAAAAGTCTTTGTTGAACACTTGACACTTAGCCACGATCTAATCCTGACATCAGGGAGTGAAAAATCCTTTCTCCCTAAACAGTGAATTGACCATCACTGTCCACCACACCTTACTGTCACATCACTGCTCAAAGCGTCTTGTTCTTCACCACCACTCGCCAAGAAACCTAAGGTTCATTACTGCCACCTAAAGTGTTATTTTGTCTGTAATCAGTTCATTCAAATGAACACATTAAAGTCCCAGACATAACTTTAGGATTTTGATTATTTTACTGTAAGTACTCAGAGAGTACAAGCATTTTCCACTCTACTGTGAAGTCATTCTTCCTGAGCTCTGCCTCTCCTCTGCGCTGGCATCAGGGCTCCAGGGTCCTCGCTGCCTCCTACGACAAGTCGGCCTTATTGTGGCGTCTGGATGATTCTATACCAAAGGTAACTCTTCACCTGTATCTGCTCCGCCTGTTTCTGCTCCCCCTCTATCTAATCTGCTGTTATTGTCCCATGTGTGGAGCAGCTGACTCTGACTGGTCACAGCAGGAAGGTGACGGCTGCCAGGTTCAGTGGTTTTCTTCATCATGTGGTGACAGGAAGTGCAGACAGAACCATCCGACTGTGGGACCTGCACAGAGCTGCCTGTGAGTAACACACACTCACACTGCAAAAAACTGTTACAGTTAAAAGGAAATGACCCCATTGTTCAGTGACCTGAAAGCCTCAAACCACTCTTTGTGTGTGTGTATGTGTGTGTGTGTGTGTGTGCAGGTGTGCAGGTGGTTGAAGTGTCATCCTTCTGCAGTGACCTCGTCTGTTCTGAGAACTGTATCATCAGTGGACACTATGACTCTAAGATCAGAGTCTGGGACACCAGGTAACGGCCCCTCCAACACGCGCACACACACACACACACACACACATACACATTCATAGTTTTGCCAGTGATGGCGCTCTAACACACCTTATTCATCCTCGTGGCATCATCAGGGCCACTTTTTATCCTCTGTTTCCTAGCAACAGTTGCACCTGCAGAACTGAGTCTGACTCAAAAGGTGATTGACACCTCTGTCTGCCAATCACCCACCACCACCCCTGCTGGACAGTTATTGGTCACATCATATTCCTTTTCTTCTTGTTCTTCTTGTATTCCTCCAGCTTCATGTCCCTCTCTTCATGTTATTATTCTCTGACATTACCAACTCATGTTATGGTCTGTTTGCTGCCCCCAGGGTCACACTCTGTAGATTTGTAAAGAACAGAACCATTCTACAGTCAAACAGCCCAGCCTCTCCTTTGTCGTTCAGGGCCGTTAACTGTGTTCAGGAGTTTCCTGCTCAGGGTAAAGTCACTTCACTGGACCTCAGCTCTGACCATCGTCAACTGCTCAGCTGTTGCCGTGATGACTGCCTTCAGCTGGTGGATCTGCGGAGAGGGAGCAATGAACGACTGTGTTTCAGGTGGAGAAATGACATCACTGTATGAAAAGAGATCCAACAAAGATCTGAAACTGATCTGTTTTCTTTCTCCATTAGAGCTGATGGTTTCACCTGTGGCAGTGACAGCACCAAGGCAGTCATCAGGTGAGGTCAACTACTTAGATTTAATTAGTCAATAAACTGCGTACAGGGTTGGTGCCCTGCCCCCTATGTTTCTGATTTACGGTCATGTTCTATAGGTCTGTCTCTGTCTTTGTCTTCGTCTTTCAGTCCAGACAGTTGTTTTATAGCAGCTGGATCAGCAGATTGTTCTGTTTACATCTGGAATGTTTCTTCTGGAGACCTGGAGACGCGGCTACCTGACCACCACAGGTATGACATAAAATACGCCACTACAGTTCATGGAGTTTTCACAGTCACGTGGTAAGAACCAGCTCTAGTAACAACTAGGATTGGTTTTAAATTGGTTCATTTATTACAGGTAAAATAACAGGTTAAAAAGATCTTTGATTTCTGCCACACCAGTAACACTGATGCACACACTCTAGCCAGTAGGTGGCAGTAAAGTAGCTTGTTTAACAGCCAAACGGAAATGATCAAGAAAGTTGAGGCAACAGTATTTGGCATCTTTTAGCTTCTTGATGATGGCTTGGATTAGATTATGGTTATGTGTAAGTTGTTCAACAAAGTGTTTTCTACACAACAGCCTAAAGAATATAGTAGTAATTCAACAATGTTCCAAACTGTTCCACCAATTCCGGAGGGAGCTCAAGCTTCTTCTGTTGTCAGACATCAGAAGAAGTTCCAATCAACATCAGTTCCAACTGATCTTTTCTTTCCTGCTGCTCCAATACTACTTTGTTCTGAATATTTGATGAACATTTTTGTGGTTCCTTATGGTTAAGTCTTAGTCTTGTAACTTTCCAGCGGTGCAGCAGCATTAAGTTGTCAGGATGGTCGATAGTGCCCTCGTGTGGCCTTGTATGATATAGTGTATATTTTTGACATACTCTGACAAGTTGCAGAACTGGCCAAACTGCTAAATTAAAATATTTGCTTATTTTATGACTTTGTGGTAAAGTATGACAATAAACATATGTAATTAGCTCCAAAGGTTCCAATACAATATATTGTTCTTTGATGGTGTCTCACTACAAGTTTGATTGAAGCTAAGAGTTGGTCTCTAGAGGCGTTGTTTCATGATTGCTGCTCTTCCATTTGTTCTTCTCCTTGTCCTCAGTTCATCCATCAGCGCCGTGTCCTGGTCTCTGTCTGGTAAATACGTGGTCAGCGTGGACAAGAGTAGGCGGGCTGTGCTTTGGAGTGACATGTAGCAGGAGCCAACCCCTGAGCACCGTCTCACGTTCACCACAGCAGACACCACACACTTCTCTCGAACCAACATGAGAGTAAAGTGACATTTAGGACAATATAGAAGAAAACTGAGATTTTGTTTTTTTTACCAAACTTAAGATTTATTACCTACTGTTTAATTAAACACAGCTCAGTGACATCTAGTGTCTTTTCGCAATTCTTCATTCATTCACTTTATGACCTGTTTAACCTGCTCATAATTCATTGCTGCCACTTTATCCTCATCCACTTTATTGATTAATGGATAAATACTAACTGTAATGTTTAAATGCCAATAATACAGTCATGGACCTGATCCTTAAATCTGAGCTTTATTGATAACATTTTTTATATTTCAACCTTTAAGTACGTAACAATCTGAGCAAAATGAACGTGGGCGTGACGGAGAGCAGGGTGGAGACAGGAGCAGCAGCACTCAGCTGTGGAGCAGCATTTAAAAAACATCAGCATTTGTCCATCTGAAGGAGAAGGTCAGGGGCGTCCTGAGAAAAGTCGATGCTCCGAGTAGTGAGACGGACAGGAAATGCTGTTGCACAATATTCTTTACGAGCAGTTGAATTAGGGAATGTTTCCTGGTTAAACATGATTGAGAAGCTGACGTCATACGTGCTGGACACCCGCAGACTGTCCTTCAAACAGGTTGCACTTTACTGAGGTTACAATTCACCAAGTGCCTTTAACTCTAAAAAAGACTTGAAGTAAAAGATATCAGTGTGGTCCAAACATGTGGATAAACGGCAGGTGTTGTGTTTGCCAGTGTTGCCAGATATTGTGACAGAAACAAGCAACCAGGTTTACAAATATAAAGCCTTGGACGTGACGTATGACACCATCTTGTCATGCAGTCGCTTAAAACAATGCAATAGTCATATCCAATTAACTATGACAAACCTCATGTTTTCGCTCCTTGTTTTCCATACTTTTTAAATAGTCGTAGGCTGTTCAAATTAAACAAGTTGGTTTGGTCAATTTTAATGAATTTAAAAGGTTGTTTGGGCTATAATTACCAATATTGTGCACATGGTTCCGTTTACTTTCCAAAATGGAGCAGTCCGTATATCAACGTGTGACAGGACAAACGGTTATCAAGTCTGCTTTGGTACAGGATTTTATTATTACTTCTATTAAAAATATTGTTTTTTGGTTTTTTTAATCCTCTCAAGTTCCTGGTCTTTGCTTGTGATTTGCTACAATGTCATCACAGCTAGGGTTGTAACTGTTGTTTCTAATAAAATATTGTTGAATATCTTGTCAACTCCCTTCTTCATTGTTTTCTCCCTCTTCTCCTCCCCGTCTCTCCCTGGGGGCAGTTTTGGATACACACTGTTAATGAGGTTTAAAAATACCATGTGACCAACATGAGGAGCAGCTTCATCACTGCAGGCTGTTTCACACATGGACGTTAATGAGGACACTCTGAGCAGGTGCTGCTGCTGACCATCACAGAAGACTCCAACAGAGACCGGGGTCAAACCTCTGGTACTGGTCCACATTGTTTTCCATTCATAATGCGGGTCCTGGATTTATGCAGTTTTACCTTCAGTAAGTATTCAGTACTTTCCACAGTCGCTCTCAGAAAGTCTTTTGTTCATTCTTCTTCCACTGCTTAATTCTTTCCAGGGTCACGAGGGGCGCAGCAGCCAATCAGAGCAGTCATCTGACGAGGGAAGCGTTTCACTCTGTTCTCCACTCTATCACTCTATATCACATATATACAGTAGAGACCACAACAACTGTTCACAATGACATTCACACCCCTTGTCAGTTTAGTGTGAATCTAATCCTCAATCTGTCTGTTTCTAGACTGTTAGAAGAAGCTGGAGAAAAGCAACACAGCTCCATGATCTCTGTAAGTGTACTTACCAACTTATCCACTGTGTGGCTCTAATGAAATTCATCTTCTTGATAATTAGGTTCATATTTATATTTGATTTTAACTAAACTAACGATTCAATAATGAAAGATAAAAGGCTTTGATCAATTAAAGGTCAAAGGTGACGACCTCTGATAATCACTGCTGTTTCATACTAAACATGAACTGTTGTTCACCTGTTTCTGCCACTTAATTTTTTTTAACATTTTCATATGATTCAATGAATTTCTGCTACAACATTAATGCTTTGGAAGCTTTTCACATCTTTGATCCTGAGGAAAACGTGGATTTATTATCTCAAAGTGACAGCTGATTTCAGACAAGAGAGAACCTACAGCCTGCACCCTGTCAAACTGACTGATTAATCTACGGCTCAGGATGAAGCTGCAGAACAGAATCAGAGCTCACCTTTACAGTCACCATAATGACATTTAGTAGAAACAGGGTGGGAAGGACTTTCTATTTCACTGTTAAAATCTACTACAGACAGGCCAGACGGGTAACTAGTTCTACAGGGTTAGTGAGACCAGACCTATAATGGTGATGGTTATTGTTGTTGTTAATGTTATTATTATTGTGGTGGTGTTGGAGGTCAGAGAGCAGCTGCAATCTGATGTTAACATTGAACAAAAATAAAATGTGTCTTCTGGCTGTTTTAGATCTGAGCACTTCATAGATGAGTTTGACAGCAGTGAGGGAGAGAGAAAAGGAGGGAGAGTGACAGAGGGAGAGAGAGAGAGAGAAAGAGAGAGACACAGAGAGGCTGTGAGTGCAATGCAGGGTGGGAGAGCAGAGGGGACAGTGAATTAAAGAGGAGGAGCAGCACAGCTCTGAGCTCCTCACTTATCTGGAAGATCACAGCTCAGATGGAGGAGAGTCTGAAAGGATGACATCGACTTCCTGAGAGAGGAAGAGAAAGTGAGAGAGCGAGAGAGAGAGAGAAGAAGGGTAGAGAAGCAGACGTTCTCCCCTCAGTTTCCACGGTAACGGCATCCCTCCTTTCCTCCATCCTCTTCTTCCTCCTCCTCCTTCTCCTCCTCCTCCTCGATCATCTCTGCTTTCAGCTGTTGCAGGTTGGTCTGTGTCGACAGGATGGGAGATAAAGGAACCAGGTAAGACACTGAGACAGAGAGTGTGTTCTGTTGGTTCTCATGTTTGTTCCTACATGTGTTCCTGGTCCTGTTCTTTCTGAGCTCGCTGCTGTTTGTGTTTTCTCCACTGACCTTTACATCTCTCTCTCTCTTCTCTCCCACTCGCTCTCTTTTTAATCCATCAATCTATGATGTGTGTGTATGTGTGTGTGTGTGTTTATAACCTTCAGCACAAACACATATGAGGTTTTTTTAAAGGAGTTAAATGTCTTGCATGTCAGTTAGCTTTTTGTTTCAAAAAGGTCAGCCTGAAAACATGGAGTTTGCCTCTTTGTGTGCGTGTGTGTCTGAAATACATGACGTCTACTTTGACTGTATCCAGTAGAGTTAATATATGAAAAAACACCATTTACCTTTTATATAATAATAATAATAACAACAACAACAATAATTATTATTGTTATTATATTACTACTATTATAATAATAATATAATAATAATAATAATAATAATGCCTTGTTTTTGCCTTGTTTAATTTAATGAAACAGCATTCAGATTTTTTATTCATATAGTCAACTGGTTGTGTACACCAACTCCAGATCCAGAACATGTTGATTAGAATAGTCCTTTAAGGTAAAGACACAGTAACCAGTGGTTGGAGACAGGTCTATTAACCAGGTGTGTAAACAATCCAGCTGTGATCAATCCTTCATTATTTAAAATTATTATTATTTTTACACAGAATTGTGTTACTAATATTACATTTGGTCCAGAAAGAACCAGATAAATTAGAATGAAATGATCAGACTGTGTCGTCTGTAAAGTTACTGGTTTCCTTCACCGTCCTGTCAGTGGGGGAATACAGCAGTCATGGTTTGAAGCCTTCAGTTAACTCTGGCACAGACGCTGTCAGTTCAGCCCGTGGCCTTGGTAACCAACAGTGACTGAACCGTGGGTGACATTAAATCTATGCAGTGTATGTGAAGGATCTCTTCACAAACTGCTTTACTTTTAAACACCACATAAAAAGCTTAAACACACTGTCAAGACCAAACAACACAAATGGAGTAAACAGTATTTTCAAGGGCCTTGAAGAACAAAAATTCAAACGCAACAACCTAAATATGTTTGAGTTGTAAGAAGTTCACAGGGCCAGACATGTTGGTTAGAAGTCCACCCTGACTGGAGACGAAGATGGTTCTCGATCATTTTAATGTCATTTTTACTTATTCTAGATCCTCTCACTGGGCCACATGGTGGAAAAATAGTGAGTGCTTTTGCCTTACAGAAAGAATGTAATTAGTTCAATCCCCAGCTCTCACTGCTGTTCTTTCTGTATGGACAGTTTTCTAGTTTTCTCCCACAGTCCTCACACTGAAAGATTAGGTTCGTAGTTCAAACTAAACTGAAAATAGGTGTGAATCTGTGTGTGAATGTTAGTGTGAATAGTTGTTTGTCCAGCCTTTGGCTGGTAGGAACTGGGCTCCACTAACTGTGACCCTGAGAAGTATTTGAAGATAAACAAATGAAAGAATGAAATTCCTTCACCTTTTATTTCCCCTGAATAGCCAAAGTTTTTTACATTATTGTGTTTCCTACTAGTTTTGTAGTGATTTACCTCTGGTTGTGATAAAACACAATGAGATTTAGGGTTCATGAAGTGTACATAAACAGTAGATGTATTTTCTAACAGCTAGAAGAACAGAGTCAACACTGAGCCAGTCTGTTGTAAGATTTGACCCCAGTAGAAAAAAGACATGGTGTCTCTGTGTAAACAAACAGCAGCAGCAGCAGCAGCAGCAGCAGCAGCAGCAGTAAATTAATCAGATCTGGATAAAGGTCAACATTTATTACACTTCTGTTTTTCCGCTCTACTTCTCAGTACTTTTAACTCACAGTTTTGAGTCATTTACTTTCAAAGATTTTTTGGCTAAAAAAACTCAAAACAAAACAGCTGTTAAACTTTCTAACTTGAACACGATCTTATCTGGTTGTCCCGCTTAAACTAAAAAACAAAAAACAAAACAACCAACAGAATTAAAATAACCTAAAAATATATTCTTAAGAAAGTAATATTTGTTCAGATTAACTAAATACAGTTAAACAAATGAATAAATAAATTAAATAGTAAGTTGAATTTCTGGGATTATTAAAGATGGGAATGTGAAAATTTTAGTAATATAAATTAAACACGTTTTCTTTCAACTTTTACCTTTTCTCCCCAAATTTTTTTTCATGTCAGTAAACTCTCACTTTTTACTCTCTGTGTGGAGCTATAGCATTTGTGTGTGTGTGTGTGTGTGTGTGTGTGTGTGTGTGTGTGTGTGTGCAGGCTGACTGATCTTACGGTGTGGTGTCAGGAGAATGTTAATGAGCTGACTGTGCTTGGTCAAACATACAGATCAGCTCTGCTGCTGTGGACGTTTGTTTGACTGAGTTAAAACAGTGGGAGTTCGAAGCTGCTGAGATCAGTCGTGTTGTCATGACGACCAGAGTAAAGCTATTAGACGATGATCACACAGCTGATGTATTAAAGCAAGGACCTGCGTTTGTGGTGCAGCTAAAGAGACAACGTGTCTAAGTAGGAGCCTGTTAAAGGGATAGGTTACTGTTTTTTTGTTTGTGGTGTGGTTACATAACCAGCTTTCACAGCTTTATTTTAAGGACTTTTTAAATATATATTTTAAACTTTGAAGTCGTGTGAGTTCAACATTCATCTGTGGATCAACAGTCAGTCAGAGTACAGTCAGGCCACACTACAGTCAGACAGAGCTGCTGTAGAGCAAAACATCATCTGATGATGGTGGTTTGACAACAAGGCACTGAATGTGGAAGTGTTTTGTTTTCATTAGCTGATGTGACGCTGACGTTGACGTTGATGTTGACATCAGTGTTAATGTGTGTCTTGCTCTCAGCACCAGGGGAGTCTTCTTCTCATTGATCAGCTGATCTTTCCACTGTCGGAATGTCTGTGATCGATCAGCAGGAGCAGGGTTGTCAGAGGAGATTAATTCATGTGTCTCGTCAAAGCTTTATTAAAACCTTAATTAAAACTGACATGAAGTGTCCTGTAGATGAGATGTGAAGAAAAAAAGTCAGCTTTATTTATTCTGTTCTCTGAAAGACGACATTTTTGAGTCCGTTGATGAAATGACAGAACATCAGCTGTGGCCTAATTATCCCTGCACAGCTTTATGTCTGAAGTCGTTAATCTTTAATTGGACTAATTGCAAAGATGAGGGCGAGCAGGTAATCGTGTGCTGAGCGAGCTCCCTGGAGTCCTGCTGGTTTCCGGGAAAACAGCAGCGTCCTGATGCTGCTGATTGATGAAGAGACATGCAGGAGGAAGCTGAAAGCTAATGGAGCCACAGCAGCTAATTTATGACTGAGAGAGAAAAGAGGAGAAAGAGGAGGAGGAAACTCTGGAAGGAAACGGCTCGTAATGATGATAATGATGATGAGGATGATGAGGATGATGATGATGACTGACACCAGAACCTCTCTGGTGTCTGCTTATGTTTATAAGCGGTGGGAGCAGGAGTGTTTAGTAAAAGGGGACAGTGGAGGATTCAGCAGTGTCTGTGCTGACCTCACATGTTGTAGTTTCATGTCACAGAGTGTATTAAAATAAAAACATTAGCCCTTTGAACCACAGCCAATCCCAGCTATAACAGTTCTCCAGTCCAGGAGTACCCAACCATGGGGCCTGGGTCCAGTAGTGGACCTCGGCTGCACAGAAAGAATGAAACAGGGTTTTAGTCTCCAACTGCATGGCATTTTAATTTGTCCACTTCTCCAAAGTACTAACTACAAAAATATACAGTTCACACCTACCACTGACTAAATGTATTACAAATAGGGATGTCAACCGATAGCCTGGTTATATTTATTTATTTATCTGTACAAACCACTGTATGACTATGAGATTAATTGAATGAGCTGCAATGCTAATATACGGTTGTTTATCCCTAAAGCTATTTTTAGATCACACATCATTTGGTGAAACCCAGACATTATGTTATCAGGTTTTGACGATCGGAGGAAAATCGATAGCGATTCGTACACACATTACATAATTATGTTAATATTGGGCTGATATCAGTCAGCCGATATTATCGGACATCCTTAATTACAAATATATATTATTATTTTATATGCTAATAAACAACAATAAGAACGGGTTTTTCTGTCAAAGCCACGTGTGTGTAACACACACTGACCTGTGTTTGTTTGTTTGTTTGTTTGTGTTTGTTTCTAGGGTGTTTAAAAAAGCCAGTCCAAATGGAAAAGTGAGTTTTGCTGGTCTTTTTAAAGAGAACCAAATGAAAACCTGAGAACGTGTCTCAGTCATGGACTGAATGTCTTTTCTTCTGTTCTGTCCCTAAGCTCACAGTCTACCTGGGAAAGAGAGACTTTGTGGACCATGTGGACCTGGTGGAGCCTGTTGGTGAGGTTCTCCAGAACCGGGACTTCTCCACTGTGTGTTCATCAGACGTGGGCATTTGACTGTAGCTTGTTTTTGTTCTTCCCAACAGACGGTGTTGTGCTGATTGACCCAGAGTACCTGAAGGAGAGGAAAGGTGCGAAATGACTTTACATGTTTACGTTGAAACAGTATCAAAGTTCAAGCTGCGTCTGGATCATCACACCCAGAGAAAAGTGACCCTTGATTTTTAATTATTTTTTGTCAGTGTTTGTGACTCTGACCTGTGCGTTCCGTTATGGACGTGAGGACCTGGACGTCCTGGGCTTGACGTTTCGTAAAGACCTGTTTGTGGCTAACGTTCAGGCCTTTCCTTCACTGCCTGAGGAGAAGAAGAGTCTGACTCGTCTGCAGGAACGTTTGATTAAAAAGCTGGGAGAACATGCTTATCCCTTCACCTTCGAGGTAACAAGTACACAGCTACACCTGCACTACACCTACACTACATCTAAAGTACATACACTGACATAGACCAACACTATAATTACTCTACACCTACTTCATCCTGTCATAAACACAAGCAGTTTGACAAAGACTTTAAATGAAAAAAAAAAAAAAGCAAAATGAATAATTATAATTCAAATAATTCAAATGTCTTAAACTATATTATAATAATATAAGTTTATAATAGTATTTGAGGTGATGTTTTGTAGGTTGTGAACTTGGGGTCCTTAAATTATAATCTCCCCTCAGCAGCCCTCACACCCCAGAGAATTAAAACATTTTTTATCGCTTTATTTATTTTTATTTGAATCACCTCAAATTTGAAATGATAAATATTCAAAGCTGTATAAATAAGTATTTATAACATGAGTGATTTATTGCTGTTTTTCAATAATTCATTCTGTAGCTACACCAATTGTTGACCTCTTACGTTGACAAGGTGTCAGTTTATGTCAGTCTATCTAATAAATATTGATAAAGAATAATTGGAACTTACAGATTAAAAAAGTGTGGACAGACCACGGACTGAAACAGAACTTCAACACTGGTGCAGCTTCACAAGGCTGGACTCACAGCACAGTAATAGGAAATTTAGAATTGTGCGCTTTTAGATGTGAAATGTCAGAGTTGTTGTTGTTGTTGTCTGTGTTTCTAGATTCCTCTGAACCTACCCTGCTCCGTCACCCTGCAGCCTGGACCAGAGGACACTGGGAAGGTGAAGACTGCAGTCTGAGCTGTTGAAATCATATCATCAACCGGATTTAAATGATGGGATAAAAAATTATTATCTTTTTGATTCTGTCTCTCATTCTTCTTTAGGCCTGTGGTGTTGACTTTGAGGTGAAAGCATTCTGTGCAGAAAATGTGGACGAAAAGATCCATAAAAGGTAAAAGTGTTCGAGTCACAGTCAGACCCTGAACACAGGATGAATTATGGATGATTGAAAATGAGTTGTGCATTAGCAGCTTCCTGTGGCAGACAAATCATTGACTGTTGACAGACAGCCAACCACAATTATCCAAGTCAGATCAAATATCCAGACTTAACTTAAATATCTCGTGGTTATAAAATAAATATATGCTCTGTCTTCAGTACCACCCAGATAAAACAGATGGATTTATGTGCCGTGTTGTTGTTGATGTAGAAACTCGGTTCGTCTGGTGATCAGGAAGGTGCAGTACGCGCCGGAGAAACCTGGTCCTCAGCCCACGGCAGAGACTACCAGACAGTTCCTGATGTCAGACAAACCTCTGCATCTGGAGGCCTCTCTGGACAAGGAGGTGAAATTTGAGCTCCACACACACCTGACACATGATACACACATCCTACAAAGGAAAGGCCGTGGTCAAGATCTGAACCAGGAAAACATCTCACATTAATGTTTTTTTTTATTTTTTACTTTTACTTATTTTTAAGAAACTTTTACTTTTGAAGACTTTTTTCAGAATGTTATTATTATGATATAATACTGTGGTCAAAAGTTGACGTACCAAAAAAGTCTGTTTTTTATTATTTTAACCATAAAAATGACCATTGCTATGTGTTTTAAGGCAAATGAGTGCATTTTTATTCATTTTTGAGAAACTTTTATTTTTGAAGACTTTTGAAGACTTTTTCAGAATTATAGCATAATACTGTGATCAAAGCTGACGTACCAAAAAGTATAATCTTTCAGAATTTTAACCATAAAAAGTACACAGCTACATATTTTAAGGTGAATTTGTGTATTTTTATTCATTTCTGAGAAGAAATTAATTAATTCTGAATTTTATTTGTAAAGATGTTGCTTTTGATCAAAGTATTTTTTACTTAATATTAACAATAACTTGTGGTGACTTTGTGAGTTGTAATCTTCTCATCTGTCCACTGGGACTGTTGAACAGAAAAGAGAGATGAATGTGGTCAGAGATAATGCTTTTCCAATGTGTTTGGTCCCTTAGATCTATTACCATGGTGAGCCCATCAGTGTCAATGTTCATGTCACCAACAACACCAACAAGACAGTGAAGAAGATGAAAATCTCAGGTACTGTGGGTCTAACGAGTTGTGTGTATGTGTAGTATATTGTGTCATTAAAACGATTTCTGCGTGTGTGCCTGTGTGTGTGTGTGTGTGTGTGTGTGTTGACAGTGAGACAGTACGCAGACATCTGCCTATTCAACACGGCCCAGTACAAATGTCCAGTGGCTACTGAAGAGTCAGAGTGAGTTCAGTCCATTTCTATCAGCTCTGTAGTCCGGGACAGTTCCCAAGTCCAATTGTGACACAGATAATTAAACCCAATGATGACGTCATGATGTTCAATCGGGGGGCGGGGGTTTGTTTTCTCAGTGATATTGTGGCTCCCAGCTCAACCTTCTGTAAAGTCTTCACCCTCACACCGTTCCTAGCCAACAACAGAGAGAAGCGTGGTCTCGCTTTGGACGGAAAACTCAAACATGAAGACACAAACCTGGCGTCCAGCACCCTGTGAGTCCCACATTAACGAGACGTTTCAACCGTCTTCAGCAGAATTTTGAAATTTGACATTTTGACTTAATTTCTCTGCGCCTGGAGCAGGTTGAGAGAAGGAGCCAATAAGGAAATTCTGGGCATCATTGTCTCTTACAAAGTCAAAGTGAAGCTGGTGGTCTCCAGAGGAGGGTCAGTACATTTCACTCCACACAAAATATAAATATTCAGCCAATACTTACTCAGTAGTTTTCAGGTTGAGACGTGTTCTGTATGATGGAGCTGGAGTGACAGTTAGTGAAGTGAATACTCTGACGCTGTTTCTTCTTTATCGTCTCCAGGCTGCTGGGAGATCTGGCAGCTAGGTAACCTTTTACATCACTGTCATTACTGATGATCACTGATGTCAAGCACCTGGACACACCACTGAGACCATGTGATTACTTAACCTTTGACCCTGGAGTTTTTAAAGCTCAACATCTTCTGTTTCAGTGACGTCTCTGTTGAGCTGCCGTTTACGTTGATGCATCCGAAGCCGTTAGAAGAGTCTTTCTACAGAGACGGTGAGACAGGTAGTCTGTGAGTGTGTGTGTGTGTGTGTGTTCCTGGTACAGCTGGCACGTGGGACCGTATATTTTATATACTCTTTTAAAGAAGTGTGTCTTTTTTGTCAAGGTAGCCTGGAAGGGTCAGCGTCAGGGTCAGAGTCAGGTACATCAGTAATCAGGGGAAGGGGTCATTTAACACAATGTTTTTCCAAAAGTATATAAATCGCAGTGCTTTTCTTCCCCCCAGATTGGAGTCTGTTGTAAAAGTCTGACAGAAATATAAATCATTCTGAGCCTTGTGTGTAATCCAACAGCTTTAATATTTGACTTTATTAAGTGTCTCTTCAGATGTAATATACTTGAGGTGATACACACACTAACAGTTATGTCTTCAGTTAATCCGTTTGTCCAATACTCCACCATAGCGTCCATTTTTGTGACTCCTTGTCTCTGATTGGTTCTTGGCCCCAGGCCAAACTCAACAACACTTAGATAAACCCCCTAAATATCCAGAAATCCAGAATGAAACCTGATGATCCTTTCAACATGTCTGTGATGTTTGTGTGGTGGACATGTCCTCAGATGTCTCTTCTTTACATCTCCACCATCTGACATCAGTGTCTCTCTCTGTTTCACAGCTCCTGATGAAGCTCCGATCGACACAAATCTGATTGAGTTTGACACAAAGTGAGCAGCTGTCTCTCTCTCTCTCTCTCTCTCTCCCCCCTGATTGGCTCCTTCTTCCGCTGAAGCTGACAGCTGGGTTTCATCTCCACCCTCTGAAGCATTAACACTGATGGGTTCAGTGATGGACTCGTCTCTGTCTAATGTGTTTTAATGTCTGATGTGGTGAAGCAAATGGAAACTCAGCCGTCGTCAGAAGAGCCTCGAGAAACACTTGACCATAATCTGATGGTTTTCATTTCACACAGAAATGTATTGATTAATTAACAGTCAGAACTCCTCTCACAGGAAATAATTTCTTTTAATAATGATAATAAAAAAATAACAGTATGTTATAATAATAATAATAATAATAATAACAATAATAATAATAGTAATTATTATTATTATTATTGAGTTAAAAATATTAACTTCCTCTTCTTATCTTACTACAATTATATTTTGGAATCTTTTTCAAATCTGTCTCTACATTTACCTAACTTCCATGTCTTTCCTTCTCTTCCTCTACTCGTCAGCGACGATGACATCATATTTGAGGACTTTGCTCGACAGCGACTGATTGGAGCCAAAGATGACAAGGATGAAGAGGAGGAGCCAGTGGAGTCGCCCAAATTAAATGACAGATAAAGGCCGCGAGCTGCTGATGGAGCTAATGGAGTCCACCTTTAGGTCTAACCACAGTCCAGACGCCCTCTCCACTCGGCAGTGCTGTGTTAATGTTCTTGTCATGTTCGTCTTCTCCCTGAGTCCTGCCAGGGTGTCAAAATCTAGAATACCACAGCCTAGACATCAGTATTGTTTTAGACTGTCAGACTGCCAGACGGCTGTAGTGTTACACCTGCAGTCACTGTGTTATATTGATGGCTGGTAGCATGCATCACTTTGTTCTACGTGTTTCCATTAGGGACCAAACAGGAGTAACTTTGTGTTGAGATTAGTCTGGATGTATTCTATTAGAGGGCCACACCACTGCCACCTGTGGCTAACGTGAAACAGTTCACCACCACAACATGGACGTGGAGCTGATGAGGCTTCACTGTTCGAGAGGACAAAGCTGCAGAGCATCCTCTCCAGGAACCTGTATTTTCCAGAGAGCCGTCAGTCAGTCAGCTGAGAGCAGCGCAGGATCATTTGCATGAAACACTTCATCGTCAGTTTTGTTCTATTCTCTCAAGTCTGTCAATGAATTCACTATTTCCTGTTGTCATGTGTGTTTTTACATGACGTTTATGTTGTTGATGGGAAGAGGTAGATTGGAAAACAAAAACTGAAGAATGTTTTATTGTGGATATCATGTAAACAGGAAGTGTGGTTAATTTCTTTTTTTTAATTATTATTAATAATTATGAACAAACAAAAAGATCAGTTTGGAACTTGAACAAACCTGTATCACTATGTTGTATATCAGAAACATTTATTTTATAAACAACTGATTTCTTTGAACATTCCATCACTCTGTGTGTGTGTGTGTGTGTGTGTGTGTGTGTGTGTGTTTGTGTGTGTGTGTGTATATGCTAAGCTGTGCAGACCAGCTTTCATCGGGAAGTCAAGTGAGGATATTTTGAAGGTCCTGAAGAACTTTTAGGGCATTTTTTTATTATTATAGTTCAAGCATTTGCAGTTTTAGTGGTACCATAAGAGTTGGGGTTAGGTTAGCATCAAAGCGAGGTTATGGATTAAGCTTTTAGGATGGCAAAGGTTGAAGAGGTTAAGAGCAAAGGCAGTTCATTGTGCATGAGTAGCTCATGCGAAATAAAGAGACATGCATGTGTGTGTACCTGACATAACTATAACTGTGGGGACATTTTTGGATGAATTTGGGTAAAATAAAAATAAGGGTAAGGACTAAGCTCAGAAATATATTTGTAAGGGTTAAGGTTGGGGTAAGAGGCTAGAGAGTGCATTACATCAATGTCCAGTGCTCACAAATACAAAAATTGTATATGTGTGTGACATGATGAGAATACACTACAGACATATCTTATGTATTGTAATATTTTATTGTCTTATATTTTGGAAAGATTGATCAGAAAAAGGTTTATTGCATCTTTAATAAAATTGATGTTTGTGAAAAATGATTTCTTTTTACATTAGAAAAACTACACATTTCAAAGGGAAGGCAGATCAGATACACCACAATCATAAGTTAAGACCAAAACGACAATCTAAATGAGAATAATGCCAAAAAATCTGGGATTGTTTTTTTAATTCTCAAAATGCCTTCATAATCTCACAAGTAGCTACACATTTTTCTAAATGTTGTATTAATTGTGCATGGTATGTTTCAGATTTATTCAATTTAAATGTAAATGTGAAAATATGAATTTTCCCTGCATACCACAGTTTGAGAACCACTGCTCTACAATGATGAGAAAAATGCAAATTGTCCAATTGTCATCATATTCATCATATATTTTGCTGGAAAATTCCAATTTCTTTTAAAAACAAATTCTCAAAATGTTCTTGTTTGATGGGAAACATGCAGAAAAAATGCTATTTTGAAAAAAATATTTTACAAAAACTTTCGTCAAATGTTTTTAGTTTTTGACCAAACATTACACAAAAAGTTCACATATAAAATACATTTCATAAAATGTTTTCTAAATGCCCTAATTTGGTGAGATATATGTAGAAAAAGATAGAATTTTGAAAAATAATTTTACAAAAATTTTCATCCAAATGTTTTAGTTTTTGACCAAAAATGAACAAAAGTTCATATTTTGTTTTTATAACAATAATTTTCTGAAAAAATTCAAAAAAATGTTCTATAAACACCTTAATTTGATGAGAAACATGCAGGTAAAAATACAATTTTGAAAAATAATTCTACAAAAGTTTTGGTCAAAGTGTATTAGAATTTGACACAAAAAATTCACATTTTTGTAACATTTGCACACATTTGATGCGATCAATATTTGCAGCATAATTCAGTATGAGTTGCTGCAATGCTGACCACAGGGTTCAGTGACTGTGTTTATCTGCAGGACGCTTGTGATTGGATAACGAGGCGCAGTTGTGCCCTTTAAAAGCGGGTGGAAGCGGTAGTACTTCTTGGCTCCGATTGCTGATATTACGATGGTACGTGATGTTATCGCTGGTTCTCTTCACTTTGGCGGCTAACTCGTCATGTGAAGGACCAGTATTCCGCAGAACGTGCGGACGGTTTGTTTTAACCCGTCTCCACGCTGCTGGGCAGCCGGTTAACGTGCTAAACAGTATTTTGGCCACTAAGAATGTGCACGAAGACCGTGTTGTTTGAGTGGTCCAGACATTTTGGGTGTTGCGACTTTAGCCACGTGTTGGTGAAGAAGCGGCTTGTTCTGTGGGGAACGTTTGCTTCAAAGTGGTTCTTGCATTTTGTGGTTTATTGTAACGATGAGACATGCATGAAGAAGACGAGACATTATTATCAAAGGTACGACCTTACCCTCATGTATTATTAAAACATGTGTGCGCACGTATGCAGCTGATTAAGTAAATCCCTTCAGGTGTAGCAGCAGACTCTTATCACCATCACCTGGGCCGGTGGACTCCACCATCACCATCACCTGGGCCGGTGGAGTCCACCACGCCAAGAAGTCCGAATCATCTGGTTTCTACGTTACGTGAACGCCATCGTGCTGGCCGTTTCTGAGTTGCTCAAGTAAGAAAAACATTCAAGGTTTTTTTTTTTTTTTTTCTTTTTTTTGTCACCGGAAATGAAACTTTTGGACAGCATTTACAGAGTGGTGTGAAATGTTTACAGGACATCGGGGCTGGAAAGAGCAAATACTACGCAGTGAATTACCCACGAAGCCATCTTTAAACCGGTGAGTCTGTTTTACTGTGAGTGCGATTTAGTTATTTTTCTCCAACAATCTGTTAGTATGGTATGTTCAACGGTTGTATTCAAGAATATTTGATTGCACTTTCAGTAAGTGATAATGCTAAACAGTTAGCATTTTGTTGAAACTGTAGACGGAGAAATATCCACATGTTCCCCATCAGGAAGTTTCTTATTGCACTTCAATGCTTTTGTTATCCAGTTGAACATGGCATTGAACTTTTTAGACCACAGGTAGTTTGAATGTTAACTTTTTTTTTTTTTTAGTTTAGCCATGACTAAAGAGCCTGTGAGGTCTTTTTTTAATGTTTATCTATGGACTTTGATTGAATGCATGTTTTGTAAATGTTTTGCTATTAAAAGACTCAAAACTTCTTGTTCTGTTCATTGTGGAAGTATTCTGGTTGGGATTTTTGCTTACTGCTTACCTTTTACTTTTTTTTTTTTTTTTTTTTTTTTTACAAAAACTTAAAACAACTTAAACAAAAAACTTAAATTTAAATTAAACTTTTTTTTTGTTGCTATCTTTACCTATACATTTTACTTTGACAATGCATGCCCTTAAAGGCAATGAGAGACCCTATTGATTTTGTTTTTTGCATAATTTCTGGTAATAAATGCAGCACACAATATTCCAACAACTTTATTTATTCTGGAAGGTTTACAACAGTCAAATACAGTTTACAATGAAAGTGACTACTTCACAATACCATTAAGGTGCTTTTTTTTTTTTTTTTTTTTTTTTTTTTTTTTAAATATTGTTTTAACCTTTAGAAGAAGAGGCTTCTTCTGGAAGGTTTACAACAATCAAACAACTCACAACGAAAGTACAACAGCATTAAGGCACAATGAATAGAATAAATGCAAAGGCTAAAAAAAAAAAGACTTGCCAAAAAGTGACTCGGTTAAGTGACTTACATCAAGACACAATGAAAGGAATGAGCTGAATTACACATTTCAGTAAAACACTCAAGTCCAGCAAACAACACACAATCTGCTTCAAATAAAGTTGCTCCTTAACTCTACCTTGCAGAGTCCATGCTGCTGTGTTCACAAGTCTTCTCCATTGCACTATGTTAAGACAATGACAATAATGAGCTGGAATAACAATCAAAAGCTGTCTGTGCAGGTTCTCAGTCATTCACCGCTTGCCGTCAGGGTGGAAAACCACACAGTTGATGGAACCAAAACTACCTTTGACTCCTGCCAAACACCTCTTCGTACACAGCTTGGAAGAAACTCAGATTAGAAGAACACATCACTGTGCCACATATTATTAGGTCATCTTTCCCCTTGTGACTTACGTACACGATTGAGGATGACTAAATGTTTGATAAACGAGATTTCCGGTTTAATTTAAAAGCAGTCTCTTGCTATGCATGCGAAAACTATCGAGAGAAAATGACGTAAATTTTAAAATCTACGCGCAACATTCTGTGCGCGTAGGCACATGACGTCACTAACGTGGCTTTGCTATTCACATTAATAAATATGCTTAACACTCCCACTCAAAGACATGTTTATAGCTCTCTATAGTGATAAACCAAAAAATCTAAATGATATATACTCCAAAAATAGAACATTTCACATATTGGCAGTGCTCTTTAAACAACATTTTCATCTGCCATTTCACATTACTCTCCAAACAAATATCCCTTGAATTTGTCAAACTTAGCCTTTGACAGTGGCTTGATAAGAACATCAGCTACCATGTCTGCAGTGGGGCAGTACTCTAGGGATATGTGCCCTTCTGCGTGTGCAGACTGTACAAAGTGATACTTTTTGTATGTGAAATGAGGCTAATCAGAGAAATCATAAAGTTGCAGAAGCGTATCAACAACACAGTGACGTGGCTTCCTCTCTGCTGTGCAGACTTTGCCTTGTGTTGATGATGAATGCCAACAAATGGGTAACTGCAGTTGTTAGATTCCCATTGATCATTTGCACTTGACACACAGCGACGCTGCAGGTATTTTACTTGACTTGTTCTAGTAATGTATACTCACACACTAGGACTGTAGCGGTACAGACAAATTACGGTTCGGTACACTGTCGGTAAGAAAACGTGAATGTACAATAAAATTGACTGAAAAAGCATATATATATTAGAACTTGCCAGAACGCAAGCCCACCGTAATGAAAGTCGACGTCATTTATATATATTTTGTAGTCATTAATATAAATAAAACACTTAATTGTATCATCCACAACAGGTAACGCCGCTATGTAAACACAGACGAAGGCTAGTCCTAATGACAGTCACAGTTTTAGTTTTTAGATCCTGGCTCGCGTGTAAAAACAACGGCGTCGACGTGGGCTGGGTCACCCGGTTTCTCTTTACTTGCCTTCCGTTTAAAACTTGACCGCCGCTACCCAGGCGCGTCCGTGTTTACTGCTGAGAAATGTGATGTTGTGACTGTCACGATTGGGTCCCATCACAATTGCGTTCCGGCGGAAGTGGGACTATGTTCCGCTTTACACGTCTTGAAAATGCCTGCTAGCTAGCTAGCTAGCATGAACACATCTGTGACATTTTTGGTGTAACGGAACAACCTTTCAGTGAATTATGCTTGCACATTACCTTGTAGCTGCTAATAAAGAACTAATTAGAGGTGATTAGATGTGACTCAAACATGAGTTCCAGTTCCAGTTTTAATATACAGATAATGGCAGCAAGGGGGGAGGCAGGAGTATGGAGGGGGTCCTGGATCCAGTACAGCATCCATGGGGTCTAGGTGGGGAGGAAGAAGAGAGACTCCCCGGGCCAACAATGGAGATGTACCAGCCGAGCGCAGTGGTCCTTCAGTGTGGAGCCGATTCAACGTCACTATTAAAGGTATGAAAAGAAATGGATTTAAGCCTTTCACAGGTATTGAGTAAAGAGTGAGTGGCACATAAACTGGACAAATCCAGTACAGACAAGATTGACATCGTTTTTAAATGTGGATCTATGGACTTTATGATTGAATGCATGTTTTGTAAATGTGAAGTCTTTTGCTATTAAAAGAGTAAGTAAAGTTGTTATTGTGTTCATTGTGGAAGTATTCTACAACTTTGTAAGGATTGTGATTGTTTTTAATTTATTTTCAGCTACATTTTACTACTTTTTTAGCTAAATTAAAAAAAGAAACGTATATAAAAAAACTGAAGTAAAAAACAGTAAGAAAGTTTTAAATAAATAAAATAAAAAATAAAAATAAATTAATTGTATTGCAAATAAGCAGAAATATATCAGGATAAAGCAAACAGGTAGGTAGGAACAGAAATATGTATTGATTCATTTTAAGTTGGAAGCTAGACCGAAATGAACGATTTTAAATAGTTCTACAGCAAATAAATCAAAGGAACGCTATATCAACCTGGCAGTCATTTTACTTAATATCCCTTTTTAGTAAGTAATTGTGCGTAAACATTCTATTGTCTGAAAAAAAGCCAATAATACTTGGCAAAACCTGGTTTCATTTAAATCAAAGATTTAATTTCCCTTCCTTGCTCATTTAGTGTACTCGCCCCCAGGGAACGAAAAATCAGAAAGCACTTTGTTTAAACACTCGCTTTGTAGTAAAAAAAAAAGGTTTGTCAGTAAAGTCACTAAAACGTTGATACGTCTGAAAAAGTGGCATGAATTTTTATCGTTATTTTATTTTTTTAAATTCGCTTTTCTTCTATCGAATGATATCTGTTTTATTCATGTTCCACAAGGGCAGTTTAGCGAGGGCACACATTTTATGGTGAAATCTTGTCTGGTAATGCGGTCGGTTGTTCGGTTTAGCTCCACCAACAGCGAGGTCCGACCAAAACGTCGATGAGTGAAGTTACACTTTTAAGCCACAAGAGGGGGATAACCTATTGGCTTAAATATTCAGCCACACATGGAGCAGACAACCCTTTGGAGGGAACTTGTTTGTATATGCAGTTGCACGTTTGAGCCACCGGAGGGCGAATCGTGCAGACCCCCTAATGGCCGGACCTCGTTGTTGGCGGAGCTAAACCTAAACCAAAAAATAAAAAGTCCCCGAAATGCCTTAAAATGCAAGTTTATGCCACAAAACATCCTGAGAAGTGAATAATTTGTGCAACCTCGAAAAAGTATTTTATATGAATATT